ATACATACACATACATACATACATACATACACATAGCTAGTTAATAAATGATCTGGTTTATTTAAACTAAAGGGTACAGTAAAAATGATCAGTTTCTTCATGACTTCTGACCTCTGAACTACAACCTCCTTGCAGCTAAAACATTCAACACCTCATTTAATCTTTTCTCACTAGAATAGCATAGTACTGAAAAAGAAAAGGAAAAAAAATAATCTCAGGACTTCATCAATTTTTCATGAATTTTCATTTAGACCACAGCCTCTCTTGCAGTGGTCAATAGATCAAGCTGCTATCTCAAATTTAACAGCTGGGGCTACAGCTGCTATCTTTGGTGCTACAACCAACTCTGCCTAGATCAGAATCAATGTCAGCCAGATTAGGACTTGTCTCTAGTCTTTCAAAGCAGAGACCTGATACATGAAATTCAAATTCAGTCTTGGTATCTTTCTCAATATATGTTTTATGATCATTTCACTTGTATTTAGCAATTTACATTTGCATAAAAAGAGATCTAGTCCTGTTAAGATAACAAAGTATTCATAGCCCATTGTTACAGAAGCAAATGCTATAATTTCTGAAAACTGTATCTGTAATTTCTGTAAACTGTATCTTGGTATTATTTCATTTCTACAAATGAACATTAACTACACTTGTAAAAAAAGTAAGATTATTACAAGGATATTTGATTTATTAATACAAATAGTTTATAATTATGAATAGTTTGTACCTTATTTGAAGAGTTAAGGTGACATTAAAAGCATAAAAACAGTAATAATCCCCACTAGCAAAATAGAATGAAATAGGTATCTTAGCATAAGTGCTTATGCATGACTACAGCATTAACAAACTTATATCAATGAACAAAACAATAAGCATACTTTCCTTTAATGGTCCCATAAACATTATGGATAACATTAATAAAGTTAGGAATGCATAGTGGAAAGTATGCATTTCTCCACTATGATGCAGTAACTGCAAAATACTTTATGTCTGGATGTTGTTTAGAATTACTTACATGCTACTTCCAGCGAAGCATTACGACTCACAGCTTCCCCCAGATAGTTCCTGGCAACACAAACATAACTTCCTTCATCTGGTTTACTTCTGCGTCCATGTACAATTCTTAGGAAAAATAAAGATCCACTAGGAAGCAACATGCGATGTGAACGGGGGTCATCTTTGTCAGTCTCCACACGCTCTCCATCTTTGTACCACTCAATAATGGGAGTGGGTCTTCCTTCAGCCTTGCAGTTCAAAGTTGTAGGCTCTCCTTTAGAAACAATAACATCAGATGGATGCTCTACTATTCGTGGAGGAAAGTCTTCCTGGCGAAGACGAGATCCTAATGACAAAGAAAAAATAATTAGTAACCCATAAGATCCTAAAGACAAAGAAAAAATAATCATTTTTAAAACTCATAATTTTCATAAATGAAAGTCATAGACATTCTGTATGTAAGCATGTCTCACAGAATTCACCAAAGATTAATTCTGAATGAATTCATACAACACACATGTGAACATTATAGTATCTTCCTCATAGATAGTATTTATAAAATCATATGCACATTCAATATGCAATGCATTTACGGTTGGCCTATATAAATAAAGTCCAGTGTCACATTGAAAATTACATTATTTTTGACCCATTATTCATTTGAATTTTTACATTTGTGGGAGTATTCATTTCCTATGGAAGTGAGAAGTTATAGAATGAATTCAACAGATATTTGGGAGACTAGAAATAATTGCTCTTTTGATAAAGATGAAGCTAGTATGTGAAATATATAGTCATATAAAAATGACTACTGTATTCCCTTCTTCCCTAAAATCATAAAGCAGATCCTTGTAGAGAAACAGGTCTATAAATAGGTCTGGGATTCAACCACCACTGGAAGCACTTATTTGGGATAACTGCTTGTTAACTTTTTAAGAAGTTCAGAGAACCGGTTGTAGGAAGAAATCTCCTTTTGTTTTTTTCCACTTTACAGGATGAATCCTGTAAGGAAGGTAGGAAGGAAACATTCTGGGTGTTGTTTCTAGCCTAATCTTTATTGCCCTGCTTACAGAAACTGCCTCTACATTAACCCTTATAATAGGTAAAGGTTCTTGACAGTAAGAGCTCTAGAGTTTTTTTTTTCTTTAAAAGTTTTAGTTTAAAAGTTGGTACTTTGCTGAGGCTTGACTTTCTTAAAGGGGAAGGGTTGTCTTAAGCTTTTTACACTGCTATTGGGAGGAAATACTCCCCTGTTGAGTTCTTCCAGCTGGGATGCAATAATCAGCACTTTGAAGAAATAATTGAAGCAGAGCTTTTAAATGACAAGGAACCAAGATGAGTGACATTCAGCAAGGCTTCTTGGCTAGCTAGAAAGACTGAGATTCAAATGTGAATTTACATACCGTTTCTGAGTTTTGGTCTAAACTGGTTTTTGGTGAAGTTTAATTCTGTGCTTGATGATGTTTAATTCTGTGTTTATTGATGGGATAATTTTCCCTATTCAGCTTTGTTTGGAAGGAAAAATGTTAATCTCTGTTCCTGAAAAAAAGCAGGGTTCAGAAATCTGGCTAGTTCCTGTGTCTATTTGTTCTGGTAATTGGTTTAACAAGCAACAGCTACTATGTTTGCTCTTTTGCTACATTCTAGTACTAATTGCTTTCTTTATACTTAGGCTTATTTCAAGTATTTACACTTGAGCTTGCCTTGGGTTGAGCTCTGGCAGTGAACCAGACAAGGCTTGTGTTTTAATTTTAAAAGGATTTAAACTGTTGTGATTTAATTATTTGTATTGTATTTGAATTTTTCCTGCCTCATGGTTTCATTTTCTATGTGGGGAGGAGGCCTTCCTTCATGCTTTAGTGGTTCCTGGCACTGTTCTTTTGGGGTGTACTTCCAAGAGGCAGGATGCAAGATTGGCACTGATTTTTTACTGCCTTTCTGGGGGGTATGTGATCTTTCCTTAATTCTGGATGATTTCCTTAGATTTAGATTTCCTCTTGTGAGGTGAGTAAGACAAATGTGATACAAATGGATCTAAGGATTGCTTTTCCTGGGCGTGTTCTTTCTGGAGAGATTAAATGACTTCTCTGCTAAAGGGTTTCACTTTATGAGCAAGAGTTGGCTGCTGATAGTTATCATTGCATTTGAATTATTTTAATTCCTCAAGATGCTCTGGCACCCTTTCTGATTTGTAACTCCAGCTTGCAGGTACTTCTAATCAAATGATTAGTATTCAGGGCAGCTGTTTTTGTAAGCAAAAAAGCTTTTTGTATTTTTGTACAGGTAATCTTTGACTTACAACAGTTCATTTGGTGACCATTCAAAGTTACAATGGCACTGAAGAAAGTGATACTTGCAATCATTGCAGCATCCACATGATTACGAGAGTCCAGGAGAATGCCCCTCAACATGAGTGACATTGAGTTGGCTGTGCCCACCCAGTCAGATGACTACCCATCCATGCCTACCCAGCTGGTCATTAGGGCAAAGAACCAGTTGTTAAATTATTTGAATCCCACCACTCATTACTTCCTAACAGGTGCCATTAGGACAGGTGTCAACTTATCCCCTAAATGTATTGTCCAATTGTCATGAAATGGATTTTGGATAGTAAAAGACAGCGGCTATCTGTTATGGATAGATGAGCAATAAAAGCAACACAAAAATACACACACTAATAATTTTCAGCTTACAATATGATGTTTGGTGAAAAAATACATATTTTTAGCATGTGAAAGATGTTTGAACACTTTCCTACACAAATATCTAAATTCAAACTTTAATCTATCAATGTACAACTCTATAACTAGAGCTATTTAAAAATTAAATTTATCCTTTTCTTCTCCACACCACTGAACATTAAGATACAATTAGAGTTATCTACTTATACCAACTATTTCTTTTCATTTGAGATCTACAAAAGAAACAATTTAAAAGAAACAACTTTTCTTTTCACCTTGTATTCTAAGATAGCAGATGGTTTGCCTTCAGGGTGAAACTACTATGCCTTTCCCTCCAATATTAAAAACATAGGCAACAAAGATTATATGCACTATATTTGACTATTGTTTTATGTCTCTTATATGATTAAAAAATGGAACTTAACATTTCTTCCAAGAAAAAAGTGTTACATTACTATCATTTTCAATATAGTGTATTGCCAACAAATTATTTCAATCATCTACCAATAAAGATATTGAATTACAACCTGTCAGAATGTTTTTTAAATATTTTAGATTCAGATTTATTTGTTTGCTTAATTGCATAACTGAAACTTACACCTACATACAGTACTTCCCTATTTCTATTTAATATCCTATTGAATTCCTAATCCTATACAATATCATTTTAAACCAGTAGGGCTTACTTCTGAATAAATATTTATGGGATAATATCAGTCAATTAATTCCAAATAACCAATATATGTAGAAAAGTTTGATCTCATTTCTGTATACAACTGTGCAAGTATATGTTTTTAACAAGAGCTGCTTAAAATATCAATTATAAAATATATATTTTATCCATTTATATAATTAAACCATGACTCTTACTAATACAGCAAAACTGTAATGATGTCCTCTTAGAATTTTACATGTAATCAAACACAAACATATACTAAATGTTATTAGCTGTGCCATTATAGGCAAATCACATTTAGCTAATTTAACATATTTTCATGCTTTTCATGTAATTGCATATTTCATGAATAAATAAATGATGATATGATTGTACAGCAAATGACAGTTCAATTTCATAGGAAAGAACAAAAGGTCAATCAGTTGTTTTTAAACAATATTTTATGCCAGCAAATGGAAATGTTACCTAAATTACAAACTTGCTATAACTCAAAATATCATATTCACTACTTATTGAATCTGGTATCATGAACTACATGAAAAATCTCCCTTTTGTTGATATTACATTCACAGTAGCCATGGCTTAGATAAAATCTGTATTTTTACACTTATTGAGGAACCTATTCAAATTTTCTTATATCAGACTTCTTCTCTTTCTATAATTTCTTCCATTTCTCCATTTATGTAAATACAATGATGTGTTATTGCTAGACTGTAGTTATCAGTTTTCTAACACTCTTTTTGCATCAAGATTACATAGAATTCCCTTTTCTTAATGGTAGAGAGCACACTGACTAATTATGTCAATGCATAGTGCTAATTTACACAATATGTGCAAGCACTGGTATTTCCTTCTACTTCATCCAGTCTCTCAAGGCTGGCAGCGATGAAGAATGTTTTTCATAACAAGCTGAATAAAAATTTGAAGGAACTAGTTCTGTGTCTCAATGGAGTTCTTAAAAAACATTGCAGCAACAAATTTCATTTCATTAAGCAAAACAATGTACTTCTATAACTGTCTGGTTTGGTACAGCAACTAAACAGAACAGTACAGACTCCAACAAATAGTTAGGACTGCAGAAAAAGCAATCACAACCAGCCTGCCTTCCATTGAGGACATGAATATTGTGCAGATCAGAAGAAAGGCGGAGAAAATAACTAGAGAGCCATCACATCCTGGACATAAATTGTTACAGCTCATTCCTGCAGGACACCATTATAGGACATTGCATATGGCAAAACAAATACACCTAGGGACAGTTTTCTTCCTCGTGCCATCACTCTGCTGAATACCTCATCCTCACAGTACTGTCTTATGTCTTGATGTATTCACTCATGTTGTACAGCTGTAATGTTATTAACCTTCTCATCTTTTCTACTACCTTCTCTTCTTAGTATCATTTTTATTATTATTATTACTCTGTTGCTTGCATGTACACATAGAGCTTCTTCACCAGAGATAAATTCATTGTATGTCTAATCACATCTGGCCTAATAAAATATTCTATTCATTAAAGTTCATTAAAGACTGAAAATAGTTTCAAATAAATGTCTGCATTTTGGAACATTAGTATTTTTTGTGGCTCCCTAACGGAATACATTTCACAATCATTTTTTATTCTTTATGTAGTCATTAATACACAGCAAAATTTCACAACCAGATGTGATGCTTGTGATCAGTGGTGGGATTCACAGTTTTTTTTACTACCGGTGCTATGGGCGTGGCTTAGTACATGTGTCAGGGGAAGGATACTGTAAAATCTCCATTCCCACTCCACTCCAGGGGAAGGATACCACCAGTTTTCTGAACTACTCAAAATTTCCACTACCAGTTCTCCAGAACTAGACAGAACCTGCTGAATACCACCTCTGCTTGTGATGTTTTAGTGTATAGTGTACTGTTGTAACAAAATTCCTTTAACTTACATTTTGTGCAGTGTATGCAGTGTGTGATTTTTAAAATATCATTTTCTCATCTACAATGAGAAAA